ATATATATATATATAATATATATGCATAATATATATATATATATATATATATTATATATATATGTATATATATGCATATATATATATATATAGATAGATAGATAGATAGATAGATAGATTTGTATATATATAATGTATATGTATATATATGTATATATAATACATATATAATGTGTATATATTATATATATATATATATATATATATATATATATATATATATACATATATATGTATACACGCACGCGCGCGCCAACCGTTTCATAACAAATGAATTAGGGGGAGAGCAGGTAGACGAATAGAGGACAACCGAATCATCACACGGATCATTCTTGTTAAACATTTTGTTATTGATTTCAGATTCATGAAATTTACTTAAAGGCATCAAATCATTAGAAACCTCTATAAATGAACTGCTAGATAATATTTGCATTCTAAATAGTGCCAACGAATGATGCTAATATTGGTACCTGGCCACTCTGGTATCCATGGCAATGAGCAGGCTGACAAATTAGCTGGTTAATTCGTCATCTGGACCTTACCAGCATCCATACAGATCTCGGGTGTTTTCTGTCCTTATAAAAGCAAAAATACATGTATCAAAGTGACTGTACCAACCCACACAAACAGTAAACATGAAACAACAATGGGTTGTGTACCATTCATACAGATTTGGGATCATTTTGCCATATAGTTTTGTTGGTGGTAAGGTTCTGCCAGACCGTTTATTGGCCACATACAAAATTAAGCTAAATCAGTTCGAAAGGTTACCACTTTCCCAAGAGTAATAAATGACCACTGCCAGACATTTGTAGCAGTGGGATACAGTGAAACATGTTGCAAAATCTTCAGCATAATCCCAAGTATCATGAATGACCACTGCCAGACATTTTCAGAGGCGAGTTATCCCTGTCAGACAGACCCATATTGGGTAATCCCAAAAGTCAGTGACAGTGTAAGGCATTTGAATTAAAGTCATCTTATCATCAATTGGCTCGCCACAGTCACTTTGTTTCAGGCCAATCAGGGGCACTTGGAAAACCAAGCCTAATTGTCTAGGTATCTGTGGGGCACATCCTTTCAGATTGTCATTTATTTCCGGATAAGGTGTCATTGTTTTATGTATATTTGGAACGCAGGTGTCCATCTGATATTTTCATCTTTGTATTATTCTACATTTTCACTATTTGTTTCGCCCACGCTCCTTCTGTAAGGGCAGAACTGTAAACTATGTTCCCTTTCCTTTAATTCAGGAAAATGAGATGTACCTTTTGTTCCTATTCATCCGTGAGTTTTCTCTGCAGATTCTGAGAGAAATATGTAATATCACCTTGATCACCTCGAGTCATAAAAACTCAGTTTTGTACATGTCAAGCAGACATAATTGTTGGCCAACAGTAGTTCTGATAAACTTGCACAAGAATGCAAAAGCATGTTTGTGCTGGTGGTAGGACGAATGGAATTATTTTGTACCCATTTTTGTTTGTCAAACTGTACACGACAAGGCTTTTGGTACTTGGCCTCCTTTGCAATAAGGTTCACACCACTATGAATCCGAGTTTTAATCCTATTGTTTTTCGATAGCTCTGCCCGGTCGCGCCGAAACTAAGAATGAACAGTTGCAATCAATTGACTTTTTTATATTTTTCCCACATTAAATGCACATACTTTTGGGCAATCCTTGCTCATCCGATTTCATGAGGGAGCTAGACGGCCTTGGCTAAGTAAGAGCCTTTTACCCGAGGGATTTCGGAAACAGAAACAATTTGAAGCTTCACTGCAATGTATGGTTTGTAAGATGAGTGATGCCTGGTCCCTATGTGAATTGCTCTCAGAAATCCTTCCTGCGACATCCTCATAATTATCAGCCATCAAGTTCTTTTGTGGAGTTGTATACTTCATAAAGTAGCCCATGTTTTTATACAAATTGTTTTAGCTTGTTATTTTTACTTGGGTTCTGACAAATGAAACAATAAGAGGAATCTGGATCCTGAAAGAGGTGCATATATTGGTATAGTGAAATATTTTGAAACTTTACCGCCATTTTAAGTCCATGATTTTACAGACTAATGTCACCCAGAAACTACACAAAGTACATTTCAGGGTTTAGTGTTCTACCCAGCCTGATACAAATCATGGTGCTTATATGACTATACCATGGAAAAAAATGGGTGTACACTCAAAACGGAAGGTACAGTGAGTAGCAGAAGTTTGTCAACAAATTGTCCAATGCTATCAAGGCATGCTATAGAGGTATCTGAAACTAATTTTTCAATACAATGTAAATATAAACTTACTATGGGTCTTGTAAGACTGGCTTCTGCTGAATTCTCTTCAGGTTGATCATTCCCCCCCCCATTTTATATATTATATATATATATATATATATATATATATATATATATATATATATATATATATATATATATATATATATATATATATATATATATATATATATATATATATATATATATATATATATATATATATATATATATAGATTTATTTATTTATATATAATATATATATATATATATATATATATATATATATATCCCAACAATACAAAATGCAACAAAGTCGGTTATAAAGAACTATTGGATTAAAAAGAGGAAAATGAAGACATTTTTACTTTCAACTGCTTGGAGTTGTCTTCTCTATGACCATCTTGCAAAGAATTCCATGATAGAACAAATCCAAGGTACGTGTACTTGATAAAATACCTCATGAAATTTTGAAGCAATTGAACAAAAAGTATCCATGACAATGTTGACAGTTCCGCTTGCTACCCCAGTCTTATGAAATGGTAGGCTAAGATAATTCTGAATTAGTAGGGATCATTAATTTTCCCAGATTCGTATCCATCACATTGTGAGCAATGAAAAATGGGCAAAGTCGAGATATATTATGAAACTGGTATCTTATCCTGAAGTACACACTTGAATTAACAACCCAATGCTGTTAAACAAAAGGGCCAGAAGACTAGCTGCGGTCGACAGGGTTAAAGATGAAGGTCAAGTAATAATTAAAATAAAAATATAACCACTTGACTTTTAATTAGCGGTAACCGAAAAGATGAATTTAGTAAACAGGATTAACTCAAAAGAAGGCTCGAGCTTTTGGAATGCTGGGATTTTGTTATACTTGGATTTTGTTAGGTAAACGCCATTTCATAATATACAGGGGCTACCTAAATGGACTTAATGCAATAAAGGTTTCATATTACTGGGTATTGACACAGAACGAGATAATTTAAGTTTCATGATAAGGGAAAGTTAAATGTGTTGTGGATAGGGTCAAAATTAACATCACTTATGGCCATGTCTGGAATGGGTACTCCACCACTGAAAATATCTGGCAGTGGTCATTCATGATACTTGGGATTATGCTGAAGATTTTGCAACAAGTTTCAAGTGGTAACCTTTCGAGCTGATCTAGCACAATTTTGGGCGTAGTCAATTAATGGTTAGGTAGAAACCGAACACCAAACAAAAATGTCTGGCAACATTATTCCAAATATGTATTAATGGTACCCAAGACATTGGGAATGGTTTCAAGTGATAACCTTCCAAGCTGATCTAGCCTATATTTAGCCACGAAAGCCACGGCCATGACCACACCCACCAGAGGAGACGCGGCAGACTTAAAGATCCTTAGTCGGAAGTTGGTGCTAGATGTTTCTATTTGAAATTGGTAAGCCTTCCCGCTAGGCTGACGACCTGGACTCTCGGTCTATTATGTGCATGAACCTGCTGCATCACCTTTGAAGTCCTAAAACCGTATTTGGTGCCAGAGTGTTAGATAACAGAAGGGCCAATTCACATTGATCATCTCACCTCCAGTGTTGCCGTAAATCATTACAACTAATTGCGTTTGGTTTGGTCGGTCAAGAATTCTTGCTCTGAGGCCAAGGATTGTACCATTCGGTGTTATCTTTGTTATTATCATTATCATTGTTATTATCATTATTATTAACATTTCTATTATAGTTTTTATTCATGTTATCAACCTCGCTTTTCTAGGGACCGTCATTCAGTTATTTATACCGTATGAAAAAACATATACGTTATTATTGATTGTGTTGAGGCAGAATTGAAAATACGTCATGGTTTATAGATAAAGACAAAAGGAGTTTATCATATCATCGTGCAGTGTTTGTCGTAAGTCGTAAGTGCAATTTTATGAAGTAACCCATCAACTTAAGCAAACGTTCTTGCAGTAATAAATCTTCTCTTGATATTTGATCCATCAAACGATTATCTTCGATATCTTCGCTCATCCAGTTGCAGTTACTATCTTCGTCTTCAAATGTTCCACTATTTATATGCAAAGGATTTTCGTATACTCAGTGGTACATTGATTTATCTTTTTGTATAATACAATGTTGCAGCTCGTATTGGCTGTACTTGTTATGTCGAAATTTTCGTGACCGTTCGTTCCACATCCGTAAGTGTTTTATGCAATGCAGTTTGGATACACAATGTGCAATATTAATCTATCAGTGCGAGTCCCAATAGCACTGATCGCGTAGAGGTCGCTTCAGACACCGAACTCCGCTGCCTGTCTTTGCCTATCGTTTACTTGGTGGTAATTGTAGCGCGCGGAGGAAATTCAGTGCCGTGGTAATCATGGCTACTAAAAGAGGTTGGGCGCTGACAATGCCCGTTCGAAACTCGAATTCATAAAGGCCAGTGAACTAAAATCTTTTTGTTTGTGGGGGTTTTTTTGTGTGTGTGTGTGTGTGTGTGTAGATGCAGTGCTAGTCACTGTTATTATTATCATTATTATTGTGTTTATTATCATATTCATTATCTTCATTATTTTCATCATAATGAACTCCATCATAATCATCATCATCATAATCATCATCATCGTCAACATCATCATCATCATTATCACCGTCATCATCATCATTATCACCGTCATCATCGTCGTTATCAACAGTTTAATGGATTAACTTTAAATATATGCATTCACTGAGGGTGAAATAAAAAAAATGAAATGCTGTCTATATATTTCAGAATATTTACTGCAAACACCGAAAACACTCAAAGAAAGAGGAAAGAACATACACAAACAACAAAAAAAGAAAAAAAAAAAACTAAAGCACACCTGGGCAAACTACGGCCTGCGGGCCACATCCGGCCCTTTGTAATTATATATTTACTGAATTATATATTTAGTCCCTGTCCGGCCTCTCACGGGCCGGACAGGGACCAAATATATAATTCAGCAAATATATAATTTACTAAATATATACTTTAGTATGTAATATAGTAAATATATAATGCACTAAATATATAATTTAGCGCATTTTACAAAGGAAGAAACTTGGGCAGAATTAAGTTCACAATTCAGGTTTCTTGTAAAAATTTATTGCCCACCCCTGCTCTGAAGCAAACAGCGGTCCAGGTAAAATTTCCGGATTTTGCCCTCGCCCCTAAGAAGGATCTCTGTACATGAATTTTGACACTTTCTTCTGTAACAAGGTTTGAGATATAGTAGAGAAGGCTGTCCAGTTCCAAGTTGTCGGTCTCGGTTCCAAGTTGTGTGGGCCTCATGGTCCTTATTCCAGCTGGATTTTCTCAAGCTATGGAGAGGGGAAACGATGTTATTTATGTTTCATTTTATTATTTGAAGTGTTGCTTATGTTCGACTACCTTTTTCCCATGATGCTTTGGGAATGAGCTTTCCTAACCTCGACCATTATGGCGAATTGTCTTTATACTCTTAATGAATTGGATAAGTTGATGATAAATAATAATGTTATCATTTTCATTATTTCTATCATGCTATTATCAGTCAACTTACTAATATTTCATTATTTTACTTTTATTGCCATCATTATGTAATTACTACTACTGCTTCTATTCCTTTTAATTTTACTACAACCATTATTGTTAATACTGCTCCTACTATTACTGTATCATATACGTCAAGGTATGAGTAGATAGTGTGTACAGGTACATAAATATCGATACAAAGATACATTTTTTAACGATTTTTGGATCTCCCAATATTACGTTATAACTCTTGTGACATTTATTTGATTTCTGATGCCCTCCTCCCACTAATTGAACCTTCTTAACCTATATTTTCTTTGATTTTCATCTTCACTCTCTCTACGCGTATGAACTCTATACTTAGTGCTATTCTTACTTTCACTTCAGTAGATTTATCCATTTTGCATTTCATTTTCTCTCTTTCAGACTGTTTTAAGGCGTATTTATTCCATTCACTCTGATCCCTTTTCTCCTTCCATTCCCTCCCAGCTCTCATCTTTCTGTTTCCCTTTTTGCTGTTCCTCTATACCCCTACTCCTTTTCCTTCCCACTTACTAAACGGCCGTTGAGGGGCTGGACAGGACGGAAGTTGTCTACAATGGGGTTCTCTGCGTCATCGAGAAGCTTCCGGAATTCCTCAATCTGCGCATGAAGAATCAAGTCTGAGCCAAGACTAACTTCTTTCTCCCAGTAAGCAACTGTTTATCGCTTACTAGATTATTTGGCCTTCTTTATCATTTTCATGGACCTTTAAGGTATTCCCTACTTCTGTTCAGGGTATTCAAGCAGCCTCGTCGTGTATTTTACCTAATTCAATATCCATTACCATCATTAACTGATATGCTTAACTTTCCCAATCAAAGGTAACAAAGAGGTAACAACATCAATTTCATCCACTTAGGTCTGAGTTGCCAAAGCTAAAATCCTCGCTTTCGTACGCACCTGGTTATTTGAAATAGTAATAGGATCTTCGAAGACAGTCCAAGTGACGACTTCGTTACACGTGGGGGTTGTCAAGGAACCTGAGTACCTGTAGAAGGTGGTAACATCGTCTGGCAGCAAGTCGCTAAGAGCGAAGGGTGTTGCCAGCGTTTCTTGGCTGCCTGTAGATCGGGTACGTGTTATTAATATTGCTGATAGATAAATGGGACATTCAGTCCAGAAAACAGTGTGCGCCAAAAATTTGATTGAGGCAACAATATGATAATTCAGGGTCATGTGTGCGCTGCTTTTGGGGGGAAGCTTGGTTGCTTGTTGCTGCGTCCGAATGTTATAAACAGTGTAAAAATTATGGCATATGAAATGTTCAGAAAGAACATAATTATGTCAAATGCATAACCCACATCCCCTGTGTTTGTTTGTGTTTGTTTGTGTGTGCATGTGTGTGTGCGTACGTGCGTACCGTGCGTGTGTATCTGTGCGTGTGAGTGTGCGTGTACGTCGAGACACGCGGACGGGCGGGCTTGAATGTACAATACATACCTGAATGTGTTATAGTACTTAATCCGTCGATAATTGGGCTCAACTTCTCGTTATCTTCACTGGCGATTTTTAGCATGATCCCCAGCACAGCAAGACCGTCTTCTTGAGCTACCGCGTCGCCAATGGTATCATACTTGGTATTGAAGTGCACCAGGTGAAGCTCGGCAGGAAATCTGGGAAATTGAAGCACAATGAACGGTGAGGTAAACCATTTCCTTGTGAAGATTGTGCTTTGATATTTTGACCGAGCTCAGAACATCAGTCACCTACGTTTTGCCATTGATGGTGTGTTCGGAGCCCCTATTGTTTTTCTTTCCCCAGTGGAAATGGAATTGAGCGAAAGCGAATTCACCGCCCAAGTTCCCACCGGACACGTGTGGGACTTCACCAATGGCTGTCGTGGTCCATTCAACCTGGGCTAGAAGAAATGCAAGGAAATTGATAGCTTTGAGGCAAATCAGAGAAAATTAGTAACGTGACAGTGAAATAGATTATTCCTTCTCATTCATACGCCGTCTATATTTGTCACCGGGAAATTTACTGAAACCTGCAATATACGGTAAATATACTGAATTTCAAACGTTTTACAAGGAAAAGAGCACTGGTGACAGTTTTTGGAGTTACTTTTTTCATCCAAGAACTTATTCCAGATTCATGAATCAACGATTCATCATGGATAATTTATCATCTATATTTCAATTTTATATTCTACTTTTCACATAATTAAGAGCAAAAAAATGCACAGAAAGACTATTTACCCGAGTGTCCATTGTTCTTAATGATCATTTGATTAGGAATAGTATCATATCTGCTGAACACCCAGTCATCGGTCGAAGTTACAAGCGTGTCATCGTCGTCATTCAGGTCAATTGGTGACTGACTTGTGCCAGCACAGAAATCAGGGAACAAGTCTGGCCAGAAATCGGGACCTGCGATCATGAGAACACGTTTCAATTCATCGTTGCGTAAAAGCAAACAAAGTTTCAGTTTGTTGCATGATTTTCTAAATCAATGCAATGTTTTTTTTATTATTATAAACCGAACCGTACTGCAATTTATGTTTACGCAAGGAAAATTTTGCATAACATTTCTGTTGAAGCTGTTATGAACGCCGGTAAGTCGTAATGCTGTGATCAGGTTTGCATGAAGACTAAGAGGGTGCAACTTTTGTAACAGGTCTCTGACGCGCTGACTCACCTGTGCTGCCTTCATATCCCCAATGTTGGTCTTCATGTCCGTCGTCTGCAAAGTGAAGGTCACGTGACGATTACAAAGAGGAAATGGAAAAAAAAAAATTATGAATATTCTACATTCTTAAAATTTACATATTCTTGGTACTCGTAAATTACTGTGAGATGAAAAATAAAGTGAAATAACATGGAAAACGTTAAGTGGCCAGTTATACCTAACGATAAACCCAAGTGGGATAAGCTCAGTTGAATTGTATTGTGTAACTGAATACCAGTTATACGGTGACTGAATATTTCGAAAAGGAATACAATAGCAATTAGCATTAGATTAACGAATTTTCTAACAATGGGATTTGCTCGCTTACATAGTAATTATTTAGCAGATAATGCTGAAACTCATTATCAAAATGACTTGTTACGCGTGTATTAAACAATGATTTTGGGGTTGTGATTATGTTTAATGGCTTGGTAAATCTACATAGCGGAAGATATATAATTTGGGGGAAGTGTTGCCTGAATCTACAGTTCAGGTCTTTATTGCTTATTGATTTTCTTCGTGTCGCTGATTATAAATAGAAGGAAAAGCTTACCATATACGCACGTATCAACAGTGAATACGCAGCTTTCGACATTTACCTTCTTGAGAAAAGAATAAGAATAGAAATGGTGATAATCAGTTTACAGTAAAATATATTCTGGAAATCTCTCGACCTTTAAAAATTCAAGAAGCCCAGCAAATTCCGCAGACGACTTCGCAAACGGCTTCATCGCTTTCGAAGGCAAATCGACCCGAAACGCAAAACGTAGACGATACCCAAGGCGTCGCTGCGGCAGGCACGATAATGTACGGAAGAACAAGGGAAAAAGGGAAGAGGAGAAAACAGAAGACAGTAAGCAGGGTATAATGACAGAAGAGGGGTTCTGACGAAGAATTCAAGCCATCAAAAACACTGGATACTGACAATAATATACTTACCGTACAGCTATAACTATAACCTGGAACACATTGGCATCATGAAAAGGGAATTGGAAAGTTTGTAACATAACTGCATTTGAGATGTTATTCAGTATAGAATTTGCAATTTAATTAGATTAGAAAGTAATATAAGAATTCATTAATTGCCTCACCATTTTTCTATGTCGTCTTGGATATACATTTTTCCCGCCAGAAATGTGCAATTTCTCACGTTTCTGACTTCAGCTAATTCTTAGCTTCTTTTTTTCAAGAAATGTCTTCTTTTACATTTCTGAAAAACATACATTGATATAGTGATATATGCCACCCAGCCAGTATGTGTGTGTGTGTGTGTGTGTTTGTGTGTGTGTGTGTGTGTGTGTGTGTGCACGCATACTATGTGCATGTTTATAAATACGGTATATGTATGTATATGATAGACACACACACACACACACACACACACACACACACACACACACATATATTATATATATATATATATATATATATATATATATATATATATATATATATATATATAATATATATATAATATACATATATATGTATGTATGTATATATATATTATATATATATATATATATATATATATATTATATATATATATATATATATATATACATAGTATATATATACATATATATGTATGTATGTATGTATATATATATATATATATATATGTATATATATATGTATATATATATGTATATATATATATATATATATATATATATATATTTATATATATATATGCTCTTGAGAGACACAAAGTTTTTTTTTTTTGTCTCAGCCCGACGTCCTTAGCTTGAATATTCACAAACGCTGTTTCCAAGAAGAGAAAATCGAAGAGCTCACCTACAAAGTCGCGTCGAGACCAAAACTTCGGCTTCAGGAACAGAACAAACGCGGAGCTCAGCCGGCCAGCAGCCGCGTTGCCCCGCGAAGGAGGGAGCGCCCTGGGTTCCCTGTGGGGTCTGCAGAGCTCAGACCTCGATTGACAGTGCTTGCGAGAGAGCCGCCCTCTGAACCCTCGTGTACTCAACACGCGCATGCGCAGTTGTGGATGTATGCGCTCGTTTTAAAAATCAGTCAGATGTTCGCTGAAACCTGAGCATTTTTTTTTTTTTTTTTTTTTTTTTTTGAAGTAAGACCCTCGATAATGTAAACTGTTCATGACTTGCTTTGACACATATTGATTTACAGATAAGCGCGCGCATATATACACATCCAGGTGTTTGTGTGTGTGTGTGTGTACATATACAGTATATATCATGCACACATATACAGTATATATGTGTGTGTGTATGTTTGCACTCATACATATATATGTGTGTGTGTGTGTGTGTGAATATATCTACATACATATATATATATATATAATATATATATATATTATATATATATATATATATATATATATATATATATATACGCTAAGAGTTGTGGAATAGCAAGGCAAGTCAGGCACCACCGGAATCCTACGGAAGTAGATTTTTCGATCCAATAGCATTATTATGTATGTGTTGAGTAAAATAGAAGATTGATTATATGTATGCGAGATAAAGAAATAGAAAAATATCGACTGGCTACACATGCGCAGTTCAAATAAAAAATCGATGCTAAAACGCGAAGAATACTGCAATTAAGAACTAAGAGATGGCGCTGACAAAGGATACATTTTCGCTGAAAATTATATTTCCCGCAATTGTTTAAAACTAAAAGCCTCGTTTACAAACGACCAGGGCTGTCAGTCCAGTAATAGCTTCTGCTGTTCCAGTACTCTATGACGTAGCGATGACGTGGTACTAAAGGAGTCGGTCGGGCACGACGTCTGGCCGGTAAGGTATGACGTCCGAGTTGGTAGATGATAGATACCAAAAATGGCAGGGTAATTGTTTTTATATCATGCAGATATATAGAATATACTGTTTACTTTTCTTGCATCCAATACATCATATATGACATATGTAAACAAAATTACTCTGGATTGTAACCCAGGCAGTAATGATAACGAAAATATAACACAATTGGCGAAACTTCCATTAGCTTCTGTTGTGAAATTGTAATTTCTGAAGGTGGTTAACGGCATGGAACGCTTATTGAGAGGAAATAACAGCGAATAGTTTGAGTTTACTTCATAAGCATTTGATATAATCGAAATATAGACGAAAACAATAATAATAATAAGAAGAAAAATGGCATTATTACTGTAAATTCACAAGTAATTCATTTTCAAAAATACATTATGATGCAATACATGTGCTCCATTCTGTGGCCTCTCGGGCGGCCTAGCTTCCACTCTGACTCGAGCACCGATGAAGGTCCGCATTCGCTTCCCGTTTTCTTCTTCTTCTTCTTCTTTCTTTCTTTCTTTCTTTCTTTCTTTTCTTTGATGTAAGAAACGTTTTTTTTGTTTGTTTGTTTTTTTTGGGGGGAACTAATTACAAACAGAAATACCGACTTCGCCATAGAACATAATCCACAGAAAATCCATTCACTGCCATTGAGATTTGCACCACGTGACCACGAGTCCCGCGCCATCTCGTGCTGTGGCTAAAGATAACATGCAGTGAAGTGTAGAGACTAAACTATAAACGGTGATCAGTGAAAAGAAAATAGTTATAACTTTTTATACATATTTTTTGTGGTAATAAGAATTTGATTTTTCTTCTTTTTTTGTAATTCTTCTAAAGCCGTAAACTATGGCATGATAAGATCCTACCTTCACATTATCATTGATAACAATGATGATAATAATTATAGTGATAGTAATAATAATAATGAACAGAATAATAGTTATAGTAATGATAAGAATGATGATAATAATAAGAATGATAATCATTTAATCTTAATTTGCAATTATAATAATCATCAATAATCATATTTTTTATCAATAACATTAAAGCGATCATAATAGTTATATTGATAATAAATTATAAAAATGATAATAACGATAATAATAATAATAAGGATAATAAGGACAATAATGATGATGATATTAACATGAATAATAATAATCATCAAAGTGATGATACTGATTACGAAAGTGGTGATGATAATACTATGGCGATCATGATAATGATTATGATAATGATGTCATGCTTACAATGAAAATAATAAGAAGAATGATAATGAGAATGTGTTTTTAATGAGAACAATACTAATGATAATGCCCGAGAGACGATAATGATAAGAACATGAATATCAAGAATTCTACTCATATTTTACGATTATTATCGGATTAACTATTAGAAGTAGTCACGTCAATGCATAATCAAAATAACATTAATCTTGTGATCCCGTAAGCCCTTGTGTCTCTGGTAATATTCAGGGAGGAATTATAATCGATTGGTTTATTATGGAAACATGAGCCACGAGCCACGTGGAAGGTAACAACGACATACACACAGACACACATAAACGCACTCGCATTATTATAATCCCACAAGAGGACATGGGCGTACATAAAAACGTACTCACACAGACAGACACACACACATTCATAGAAAAAAGAGAGACGCAGGTGGTGACTGAATCGAAGCCGGGTTACCAAAGGGAAGATCGTCGTAGCGCTGTCGCTTAATATGCAATAGACATGTACTGTTGCCAAAACAAAACACTGTCACCATGGGAACATAATGCAAATGGGACGAATTCGTACGAGTGTTCTGAATGAGACACGTAGTAAAAGCCGAAAGTGATCCTTTTCGATTTTTACGCCTGATGAGTCATCCATGCTCAGTTCGAAACGTCACCTTTCTCTGCTGGCGTTTCATAGAGTTTAAATGCATAACTATGTGTTAATAGATAGATAGAAAGGTATATATATATGTGTGTGTGTGTGTGTGTGTGTGTGTGTGTGTGTGTGTGTGTGTGTGTGTGTGTGTGTGTGTGTGTGTGTGTGTGTGTGTGAATATAAATGAGTGTGTGTGAGGCTTTCGTCATCTGTGTTTTCCTCCATGTAATTTCCATCGTCGGTATAATTTTGGCAAGATTTATCATGACATGCCATGTGATCGGCAGCTTCGTTCGATCACGAAAAAAGTTAATCCTGTGAATGACCTTTTTTCGGC